GAGGTTCTGACTGCACTCCAAGTGCTCCAAGAACAACACCGTGTGTGTGTGTGTGTGTGTGTGTGTGTGTGTGTGTGTGTGTGTGTGTGTGTGTGTGTGTGTCAGTGGTGAGCAGAGAGAAGAATCAGATGGAAGTGGAGAGCGGAGGCGAGAGCGGGGCAGCGGGGAGCAGCGGGCAGAGTGGGGTCGAGGGAGCGGAGTCGAGAGGCGACATGGTGGGAGGAGGGAGCTATGCTGAGGAGGACGACGAGCTTATGCTGGAGTACATGGGGAACGAGGGCGTGGGCGACGAGGAGATCGACAGGTTCATGGGGTGGACGACGGTGGACTTGCGAGGGGAGACGCTAGGGAGGGCGAGGGACAGAGTCAGATCAGAGAAGAGTTCGAAAGTAGGCCATCGGCGAGGCCGTCGCTGAGCCGAGCGACGGCGATGATGCGAATAGCGCTGGACGGTAAGCGGTGAAGTGCCAGAGTGCGAGTAGGACTTGGAATGGAATATGGGCGTGTCAGGCATGATCTGACGTGGAATAGCGTGTTGGGCTTCACAAAGGGCTGACGCGACCAGTCGAGTCGCTACCACGTGCAAGCCCCACCCTGAGCCCTGGCCTCGACACCTCGACACCAAACCTCGACACCGACTCGACACCTCGATAGGGTGCCCACAGGGCCCAAAAAAAGAAAGGAAAAAAGAAATGGGCCACCCCCGATCGCAGCACTTCGTGTTGGCCAGTCGAGAAATTGAGAGTGTGACTATGAGGGTGGGACGCTGGGGATTCTCAAAGGTATACCCTTGGAATGGCCGGATCCAGCCTTAAAAGTACGAGATCGCGCGCGCTTCGCGCGCTGCACCGCCTGTTCTCCGCGGCTGTGTGACGCGCGCGTGCCGTGTACCAGCAGGGTTGGGCGCGCGCGGCGCGACGGCGCCCGCGAGGGAAGGCGCGGGTGCAGCGGCCGCCGGCGGCCGAGACTCGAACTCTCCTTGCCTACTCTCTCTGAGACTGCGTAATCAATGACGATGACAATGAATAAGGGCCGTTGGGCCAACGAACTCGCCTACACCAGTTGTCACGGCGAATGGCGGTCGTACAAAACCCTAGCCTACGTCGCATCGGCGCGCACGCACGCATCCACGCTCGCCCGCCAGCTAGGCGGAGCGAGAATCGCTCCCTCTCGACTCCGCGGACCACCCCCACATGCGCATGTCTGCGCACGCGGCGGGGCTGCGCTCTCGGCGTACACAGAACACATACGCCGACGCACAAACCTGGACGCATCACAAACGCGCGTAAAGTATCCCGTGCGAACGCACGCGCTGTGCCTTCGCGGTGGCGATGCGGCGTCGCATGGTCTTGCGGTTGGCGAACACGTCACAGCTCAAGGAGACGCGCGGCCAGAAGCCCAGCCACAGGCAGATGGGTGGTGGGCTGAAAAACCTGATCTGCCGATGTTGAATCGCCAACGATGAAACTGGATCGCCAAAGGGAACTCCAGCACGCCACCGCCGGGTGCACCGCACCCGCGGCAGTCCCTCCAGGTGGTGGTAGGTGCTGCTGCAGCGCGCTGCGAGCCTCGACAGCGACGGAAGTGGCCAGGCTCGATGCCACGGCCGCGCTGGTGACGATTGATTTTCCATATACAGGTATTATTATATTACTAGTATACAATATTACAAGCTCCTCTTGTAGCTCGATCGGTCACACCGCCATCGCCGTCGGGGAGAGGGGGGACGACACTGCTTCGGCAGCGTGCACCTCGATCCTGCACCGTGTTTGTTATGACCCCCCCCAATGAACACACCAGTGAGGGAGGGCGAGACGATCGAGGGGTCCCGTACGTGGCGCGAACAGCTTCAGCTTTTCTCGCCCGCTCTGCTGAGGGCGAGGCGCCGAGCTTCGGTTCCAACGCTGCAGCACTCTCCCTCTATTCACAGCAGAGAGGCGACGCGTCCTCACGCGCGTCCTCGTCCCCACCTGCTCTGCTTCAACGTGCTGCCATGGAGCCAGCGCGCCTCGCGCCATGATTCAATCGCCATGGCCGGAGCGCTGTGGACCGCAACGGTCCGTGGCCGCTGTGCGGCGGCACGCGCAGGCGCTGCACAGATCAGAGCATTGGCGCCGAGCATTCAGTTTCCGCATTCAGTTGTCGTTGTTCTGTCGGCTCGAACAGCCCGTACAGCCATTCAGCGGCTGGTGGATAGCGCACAGTCTCCACGGCGGATCCGTGAATCTCGTGCACACCGGCTGGATGCGCAAAGCGCCGCCGCCGTATGGACCAGCCCGATGGACCGTGTTTGTGGTCGGGATGGACAGTCTTGGTGTGGCCGTCCAGCGTATCACTGCAGAATGAAGCAGCGACACGCAATACACAGACGAAGCTGGAACTGCCGGTCCAGCGGCCGATCTGCGTCGGGCGATCGCTGGGAATTGACCGAGCTTGCTGCTTCCGGAATGGCATCACGGATTTGCCTTCGTGGGTATGAGCATAGCAGCAAGCGGTCGCGCGATGGGACGCGCGACGCACAGCAAATACAGCAGCGAGAGCGTCTAGTGTTGACGCAGGTAACGGGCGAGGTCCTGGGTGCAGAACCCGCCCTGACTCTGCCGATCCACCGGATTGCGACTCGACTGCTGATACCAGTCAACTGCTGGCGGGCAGCTTGAACTGCTGTCGCCCCGCCAGAGTATATCTCGACTAGCTCTACATCGAGAAGAAAGTCGTCTCGGGCGCCGCGTCGTCGGCGGCGGGGCGGGCGGGCAGCTGGATCTGCTGTCGCCTCGCCGGAGTATATCTCGACTAGCTCTCCATCGAGAAGAGCGTCGACTCGTGCGCCGCCTCGTCGGCGGCGTGGCAGGCGGGCAGCTGGATCTGCTGTCGCCTAGCCAGAGTATATCTCGACTCGCTCTACATCAGCTAGAGTGTCGTCTCGTGCGCCGCCTCGTCGGCGGCGTGGCGGGCGAGCAGCTGGTTCTGCTGTCGCCTCGCCAGAGTATATCTCGACTAGCTCTTCATCGAGAAGAGCGTTCACCGGCCGCTTCGCGGCGTGCGAAACGCTCGCGTCTCCGCCACCGCTGGCCACCTCCGCGTTTCCCTGCGCCGCCACCAGGGGGACGCTTGCGCCTTGCCCCCTGGCCTGACGCGCGACCCTGCGCAGACGGCGCGCTCCGGCACGGAGCAGCGACCGCCCAGGCAGTCGCTGCTCCGCCCGCGCACCGCTGCCGCCGTCGCCGCCGCCGCTCCGCCCTTTCCATCAGTGTGTCTCGTGTGTGAGAGTGTGCTGTCTGTCACGCTTGTACCTGCGAGCTGCGTCTCTCCTCCGAGGCTCAGGCTGTGTCTCCTCTCATAGATCTGTCAACGAACCGCTGTCGCACATCTTTGAGTCAAACTCTCTCCTGTCGGTGTCGAGGCTGTCGCGTGTCGTGTGCGCGCGGCGATTGTAACCCGGGAGGCCTGCGCAGCTTCTAACGATGCACAAAAACGGGCCACACAAATGCCGTAAAGGACAGGCGTGGGACGTGAGGAGACGCGCGGCCGACACCGCCCAGCAGCGGCTCTGCGGAGACACACACAGGAAGGCGCACGATGCGTACAGTGATCGCCTGTCATGCGCCATCACCGACGTCGGGCGGGAGAGGAGCTCCAGCCAACAGTAGTGGCGAGCCAGTTTGCGCTGCACGATGAAATAGTACTCGTGCTGACGCATCCTCGCCCGAGTCATATTCCAAATGCCCTGCGACAGCCCGCGTGCGACGGGAAGAAGAGGTGCGAGGCTGCGAAACTAAGAGCTTGATCGCGCCTCCAACGTCAGCGTCGGGCGCAGTGACGAGCTCGAGCAGCTCTCGTCGAGCAAGCTCCGCCTCCGAGCTCTCGCAGCAGCCATGCGCGTGCGCGCAGCCCAGGATCTCGCTCAGCGCCTCCGTCCTGGGGTTTGAAGCAGGTCCGCCGTAGCGCTCCACGCCTGCGCCGGCGGCGGGCGGTGTAGAAGGCCGCTCGCGATGGCTCCGTCGTGTGCGTCGACCGTCCCACCTCAAGTGGTGACCCTCGCTGTCGCGTGGCCGCTTGGGAGCGGCGCCGACGCTGCCGTTGAGTCTGTCCGTGGCCGCCGCGTCACTCGGCACGGAAGCCTCCTTGCCAGTGGACATGCCGGGGGGGCGTGAGGGCCTGGAGGGTGACACAGACGCGCAGGGGAGCGCGCGCCGCCGAAGTGGTTTGGCGCACACCTCGACGAGGAGGGTGGCCACCCCTCGGTTCCCAGTCTCAAAAAGCTCATCGCAAACCCTGTCAGCAGTTCACCTACGGGTATGTTCGTAAGAGCTACATACACTGAAAAGTAGCCTCGGGCCCCTGGCAGAGCAGGGACGAGAAAATTCCAACCCCTCTTCACACAGGGGCACTCACAGAAGACTGTGAGAAGGTTCACGGGGCCGACTACAGTGTGTATAGCGGGGAGGAGTGAGAAGTTTCATGTTGGGTAACAAACCATCAATACTTCCTGTATCGCACAAAGACTCTACGACCCCCAGTCCTCTGATAAACACAAGATGCATGCTCGGGGCTCTACTGGGATCTCTTCTCGACGTTCTTCGCTATCCGATTCCGAATCATCCGCGTCATACGCCTCGCCTCTTCGCTCCCCGATTCGCTGTCCGCATTTGCATGCAGTGCGCGGCAAGAGTGGCTTGAGGGGCTCTCCCCCGCGGCTCACAATCTCTCGCAAGCTACTCGACATCGGGAACCGCATGTGCGGGTTGGGACACGAGGGTAGTGAGGATAGCATGCGCCAGCCAGGCGCCGCCTCATCCTCAAAGCACTGATGCGTCATGAGACGTCGCGGTGCCGTCATGGCACGGCCCACCACGAAAGCCGCGCCAGGAATGTCTTCGCCGCCGGGAAGTGCACCGTCTGAGAAAGCCATCCGCATGCCCTCCTCACGCATCGCCTCCGCCTCCGCCCTTGTCGATGCCGGTCGCGCCCCCTCTAGTCGTCCCTGTCGGACAACAACGCCTCCCCGGCGCAGAGGGGCCCCCGGAGGGATGCACAACCGCTCCACGCCACGCCGCTTGCGGCGGTCCTCTTCCCAGCTCCGCTGAGGGCCCGCGCGTTATTTTTCTCGTTCGTCGTTGTTTTGTCGCTCGCTCCGCTCGCCACCTCACGCTCGGCCGTCCGGCCATGGCCAGTACCCCGCGTCTCAGTGAGACGCGTGGTACCATCCAACTCCGGTCGATGGGCTCGAATGCGCTCAGCCTCAGGAGTCCAAACCGCGCGAATTCTGCACGCCTCGCTGCACCGCTGGCTTGACTGAATCAGGCAGCAGCAGGCTGCTACTGTTGCCACAGCAGCAGTCTGCTGCGGCCCCAATACGCAAGTTAATGACCAGCATTGCTGCCGGGGGCATTCGAGCCGCCACAGCCGGTGTGCGGCTGTGCACTGCCACCTGCCCGCGGCTACGCACAATGTGCGCTCGCATTGGATGAGCCCTGCTGATGGACCTGCGTCGCCTAGCTGCACGAGAGCAATGCCGTAGGCGGCGGCCGTAGCATACACTGCGAGCACACTCGGTGCAGCTGCGAGGTGCAGCAAGAGCACGTCGTTCCTGCCTCTGATGCCACTCTCGCGGCTTGTAGCGCGTCACTCGCGCATGCTCTCCAGGAGCTATGGCGGGCGCGTGTGTGGGGCTGTAGCCTGTGTTTGGCCGGTTCTGAACCGTTTACTATCAGTACCATGCCTGGGCCACAAGAATCGCACACGGGGAGCGGCTCAGGGGCCCAGTAAGCCGCGGAATCGCTCGAGCCTCGGTGGGGGGGCGCGGGGGCCCTAGAGGGTACCCATGCGGGGGGGAGATGGGGTCCCACGGCCCGCCGCAGGCGCCGATTTTTTGCTTTTTTTCTTTTTTCGGCGATTTTTTGCCTTTTTTCATGGGAATCGGCGTTTTGCGGCGCCATGCTATCACGCCTTGCGACAGCCTGTCGGCGCTGCTGACCGTGCCCTGCTGCACAATTGATCACCTGCATAGCTCGCGGCCTTAGTATCAAGCATTCAGTGACGACCTGATCGTACGGTCAGTAGGAAGGTGTCCTTCCAACGTGTGCACGCTTCTGGCGCAATGCGCGTCGCCTCGGATTGGCTGCTGGCACTCTCGAGGCTATGCCTACGCAGCCTCGCGCGCATGGGCAGTCAAGAGGGACCACGCACCTTCTCAGGACAGCGCCGGTACCTCTCTCTTGGACCGGCAAACGTGGTGGTCTCGTCCACGTGTCACCGATGTGGGACCAGTGCGGCATCGCGCCATCGACAGCTCTGAACTGCGCCTCACCACTGACTGGGAAGGCCGCCAAGTGGGTCAGCACCGGTCGCACATTGTGGCAGCAGTCAGCAGTGCATGTCTGATAGCTAGAGCAGCAGCATCAGGCGCAGGGTGGGATCGTGTCAAGCCTCTCGCCCGGCCGGCCGCGTGCAGACGTCGGCCTGTCTGCTGTCTGGAGTGATCTGTCGGCGGTCAGTACGACCGATCAGGTCGGAGTTTTCTGATGGTTGGAGGGTCTATCTGTATGTACTCCTCGAGATCTCTCCAAATCTGCCCTCTGATTAACCTAGCTTAATCGGGAAGTCGGTGCTAACGGAGACTAACGGAGCCGGGGCCCCGTTTCCGAACTGCGGCGCGGCGCACGGTGCCTCCGGAGGCCCCCGCGCCCCCCACAGAGGCTCGAGCGGAATCGCCAAATGTCACAACCCGGCTCACCCAGGGCTGTGGACCTAGTCGGGCGTAAAATCAAGGGCCCGGAGGGTCTGACCACGAGTCTCTGGGGGGGTCCTCGGCCATGACCAGCAGAGAAGCCCCCCCCCCCCCCCCCCGAAGCGATGTGCGCCTGCTCCAAGGAGGAGTCGGATAAGAGCAGTGCTGCATGTTGGCAAAGAGAAAGAATGCGCTGGCACACGGCCGTGTGGCACGCACCTCAGCTGAAAGTATCTCGCTAACGCAGTGGATTTCGAGCCTGCGTGTGAAAATATACCAGTCCACGTACAGATAGAGAGATAAAGGACTGATGACAGACGACAAACAATTTTGTCTTACGGAGCCTAGCTTGCAGGATGGTTTGAGGTTTCTAGAGCAAGGCAGCAAGCTCTAGTGAGTAGTGTTAAGAAGTCAAGGGGCACCCACTAGAGTCGAGCGCGTCGGAGCGGTGTTTCGACACCGATGGTTGCGAACAGAGTAACCACCGCAGCCTGCCAAGTGCTATCGCTGCCCCTGGATCCGAATGCCAGAGAGAATCGGCAACCCTTAAGACGCGCCCCGCGCGCGCTCTCACGTCTCTGCCTCGGCGAGCGCCAGCAGCGGCACGCCTTGCTGCACCGCCACCGCCGCGATACGCGCCCGCGCCGCCTCGGCGCCCGCCTCGCCGCGGGCGGCGGCGGCGCGCGTGACGGCGAAGGCGGCGCTGTGGGCGCTCGAGAGCGGTACGAGAGGCGACGACATGGCGGCGCGGCCCATCTCCTCCCAGAGGCCAACCGCCGCCCGCCACTCGCCACCAGCCTCGCACGCGGCGATGGCGGCGCGATAGCAGCCCGCCGACGGCGTCTCGCCACTGCTCTTGACGAGACCAAAGATCTCGACTGCTCGTCGCGCGTCGCTCGCGGCGCCTGCCGCGTCCATCGCCGCGGCCGCCACCGGCGCCGCCAGCGCCGCATCCCACCCCGCAGAGCGAGCGTCCTCCCACGTCTGCAGCGCGGCGTCCGCCCGGCCGGCGGCGGTGAGTGCGGCGAGGAGGGCAGCGAAAGAGCGCGCGTCCGCTCTCACGCCCTCGTCGAGCATCGCGCCCCACACGCCCAGCGCCAGCTCCGCCCGCCCCTGTCGCCCGAGCGCGCCGACGACGTAAGCGTACGAGGCGGCGTCGGGCTCCGCGCCGGGCCGCATCGCCGAGAGGAGCTCCATCGCGGCCTCGCCCTCGCCGGCGCTCTCCGCGGCGCGGAGGACGGCGTTGAGCGCGCGCAGCCCGGGCTCGAACCCCGCCGCGCGCATCTCGGCCAACAGAGTGGACGCCTCCTCGAACTGCCCCCCAGCGCCGGCGGCCGACAGCGCCGCGTTCCACACGGCGGCCGAGGTGGCGCCGCCCGCGGCTCGAAGGCCGCGGAAGAGAGCGAGGGCCTGCGCCCACTCGCCCGCCCGGTCGCACGCCGCGACCGCTGACGACCATGTGAAGTCGTCGGGCTCGGCGGTCCCCCCCTCCTCCATCGCACCAAGCAGCCCGAGGACCGGCGCCACGTCGCCGGCGCGCGAGAAGGCGGTGATGACGGACGTGTACGAAACCACGTCCGGCGCGAGCCGCCTGCTGCCGCGCAGCTGTTGCAGCAAGTCCATCGCCGCGTCTCCGCGCGCTGCCTTTGCGCAGGCGTCCAGCGCGAGATTGAACGAGATCAGGGTCGGCTTCACCCGCTCCCGCCCCATCTCGGCGAGCAGCTCCGTCGCCTCCTCCCAGCACCCTCCCTGCGCCATGGCGCCAAGGGCCGCGTTGTACGTGAGCAGCGACCGCTTCACGTCGAGAGAGCGCATGTGCCGGAGTAGCGCCAGCGCCGCCCGCGGCTGTCCCGCCTCGCCGCAAGTGCGGATAGCGACATTGAAGGAGGAGGCGCGCGGAAGCAGCGCCTCCGCGCCCGCCGCCCTCCCCGCCCCTCCCGCCCCGGCCGTGCCCCCGCCTCCTCCGCCTCCGCCTTCCCCCTCGTCGCCGCCCTCGTCGCCGCCCTCCGCCAGACGCACGCCGAGCAGCTCGAGCGACCGCCGCCACTCCCCGCCGGCAGACGCGGCGACGACGGCCGCATGCAGCAGCGCCTCGTTTGGCGGCAGTGACGACGGCATGTCGTCGTACATCTGCAGGGCCTCGCGCCACCGGCCCGCCTCCGCCAGCGCAGTCACGGCGGTCGTGAAGGTGAAGGCGTTCGGGGCGGGCGGCAGGGGGCCCCCTCCTCCGTCGCCGCCGCCGTCACCGCCGCCCACTCTCATCTCGTCGAGCAAGTCCAGCGCCTGCTGCGTGGCTCCCCCGCGTCGGCACGCTGCCACCACCGTCGAATACGACACTACGTCGGGAGGCGTATCGCGAGGCATCGAGCGGAGGAGACGCGTCGCCTCTTCCCACTGGCCGGCGCGGGAGAGCGCGCCGAGGGCAGAGTTGTACGAGACGGTGGTGGGGCGGGTGCCGAGCTCTGGCATCTTCGCCAGCAGGTACGAGGCCAGCTTCCACTTCCCGCGCCGGCCGCACGCAGCGATGAGCTGGTTCAACGGCCGCAGCTCCGGCGGCACTCCTGCCTCCCGCAGCTCCTCGAGCAACGCCATCGGCGCCTCGAGCTCCGACGCCCGCGCGCAAGCGACCAGGGCGTGGCCGTATGCAGGACCGTCTGCCGGCATGCCGCACCGGCCCATCGCATCGAGCAGACGTCGTGCGCCGCGCCAGTCCGCCACCTGCGACGCCGCCTGCACCATCGCCCGCCACTCTCCGGGACCCCAACGGAAGCCGCCGGAGCCATCGAGAGTTGCATTCACATCCGCCCAGGCGCCCGCACGGACAGCGGCACACACGGTGCGGAGCGCCGAGCGTCGGTCCGACCCGCCGCGGCCGGCACCGCGCCGTCCGCGTCCGCGGCGCCAGCCGCTAGCCGACCTGCTGCCACCAACTCCCCCGCTTCCTCCACCTCCGCCGGACCCTGATCCACTTGCCTTGAGGCTGCCACGCGTGCAGGTCGATGGCTGCGCACGGAGTGCATGCAGATGCGGCGGCAGCGGGCCGGCCCGCACTCGGATGCGCAGCGCGATGCTGGGCACGCACGCGAGCAGCAGGCACAGGCACCGCTTCATACACAACGCAGACATTCGTGCATGCAGCAGGGTTCGGATGGGTCAGTGGAAACCACTTCACAGCCTTGTTATTGAGAAGAAAATACCTCCTATGGCGCTGTGCGCTGGCCTGTGAGAGGTTGAGGTGCGAGCCCTGGAGGCCCTGGGGATGGGGGGGGACTACCCGCGGGCTTAGAAGGCCCGCGCGCAGGGGGGTGGGGCATTGAGACCGGTCATGAATGAGTGCGCGACACAGCTATGCCTTTGTCAGTGGAAACCACTTCACAGCTATGCCTTGCTCCTTTAGGTGCTCTTAGTATGTTCTTGAACTCACCCGTCCCTGACTGCCTGAGTACACTCCCTTCCTATTGTCTTGTACTCGGCGTCCTGTGGGTGTGTTCACAGTCTTGTGTGAATTTCGGCGCCGCCGAAATTCAAGGTCCGTCGGTCTCTTTTGACCGCGGCGTTAGAGAGAGCTTTGCTACATGTTGCCTTTTGCCTTCTCTCTGGCGCTCCCGCTCTTGGCCGGCGTGTATCCGCCGACATGGAGCCTCTGTGAGGTGGAACGAACCCCGACCTTCATACCCTCGAGCCCGCCGAGACGATCTACCTCGGCACGCGGCCCGTGGATGCTTGACGCTGCTTTGCACAAAGCTGCAACCCCCCCTGTGGTGGATGCGCTGCGACTGGCTCGACGCACCACGCTCGCCCGAACCGGGTGTCAGCGTCACCGCTTGCGATCTCGATGACCGCTACAAAAGGTTCGAAGCCGCCGCCGCCGCCGCCGCCGCCGCCGCCGCCGCCGCCGCCGCCGCCGCCGCCGCCGCCGCCGCCGCCGCCGCCGGCTCGGCTCGGGGGGAGGGGAGCGGAGAGGGAGGCGGCGGTAGTAGGGGCGGCGAGGGAGAGGATTAGGGAAACGGCGGGGGGGGGGGGGGGAACCACGGAGGTAGGAGGGGGAACGGCCAAAGAAGCGGTGGAGGTGGCGGGGGCCGGAGGGGCCAGGGGGGGGTCCGTAGGGGAGGCGGCGAAAGGGGGGGGGGGGCAATAAAAGAAAAAGCCGCTGAAGGGGAAGCCGTCCCAGCGGGGAGGGAGGGGACAACCTCGAGGAAGGCGGCGAAGGAGAGGACGCAGCGTAAAATTCTTTTCCCGCCCTTGCCGATGGCAACATTAGCCAAGTGTATATGAAGCGCATTCGCGACGTTGCTGCCGTCCCCACGATGCGGCTGCCGGCCCGCACGTTCCTCTACTGCACGGCGCCGCGCGGCGGCGCGCCCATTGACCCGCCCATCTCCTCCAGGCCCTGCGCTCTCTCGCGCGCCCCGCCGAGCGGCGCCGCACCCGGTAGCGGGCGCGTGTGCGAGTACTCGCTGCGGCGGGCGGCGGTGATCGCGCTGTGCGAACTGGAGGAGGGCGCCGCGCGCGCGTGCTGCGTCGACGGCTGGTGCACCGGCGGCGGCGTTGTCCTGATCGACCCGGAGACTGTGCTGCAGCTTATCGACGGTGAGCGCACGCCTCACAATCCCTCGGGGTTCCACACGCGCCCGTCGCCACCCAACGCTACTACCCCCCCCCCCCTCCCCTCTCCCTCCCTCTGCAGACGACAAGCAGGTCGGACTCGCACAGGCGCCGCGCCCCTCTCGCCCACCCACCCGCCCATCCCTCGTACCCGCGCTCCCATGCACACCACCTCCCTGCCCGCCCAACCCCGCCCTCCCGCGCTCCGCCGCCTCAGGCGACCTTGCGAGACATGTGGTGGAATTGCGCACCCGCCGCGGCCGAAGCCACACTTGAAGCCACCACCGCCGCTGCGAGCAGATACGGGCGAGTACGGCTCTAGCGTACTTGAGCCCTGGTGTGGACGATTCTTTTGCGGTATCTTGATGTATCTCTCCATATCTGACCATATGCCGCCATATCCCGCCATATCCCGCCATATCCTGCCCTATCCTGCCCGCCTCACCGGCCGAGCAGCCCGGCCTCTCTCCGCCGTCCGCGCTCCGGCCGCACAGAGCGCGAGGACCGAGCTCCGAGGAGCAAACATCAAACAAAAAAGAAACGTAGACTCGTTGTGCTCGAAAAGGGGATTGTCGTTGAAGAAGGCACACGAGCTGACACGCGAGCTGACACATGCACCCGCTAACACATGTCGCCCGCAGCGCGCTCACGTGCCCTCACCAGTTCACCTCAAATGCCCGACCCGGCGAGCCTACTCCCGGAGCTCGGCGGAGCCAACCTCGAACGAGTGCGGGAAGACGATGGACGGCTCCGTCCCGTCCGGCGTTGCCGGTGGGGTGCGCAGCGGCTCGTAGCCCTCCTCGGTGTCGCCAGTCAAACGTGCATGGGGCGCACTGCCACTGGTCGAGCTGCTCGAGCGAGATGTGCCCTTCATCTTGATCGCCTGGCGCCAGCGCGCCTCCAGCTGCTTGGCGGCGGGGTTGTTGGCATGCATATGCTGCCAGTGCGAGAAGAGCTGTGAGGGCTTGCAGCTCCCGTTCATCCGAAAAGGCCGTGCGTGCAGCGGGGCCCGTCAAAGGGGCAGCCGGATGGCGCAAGGGTTGGGCAAGAAATTTGTCGCCCATCACCATGTCGGTGAGCTTGCGCATCACGAGGAGCTTCTTGGCCCACTTCTCGGGTTCTTGTGGAAGATCTCGCTCGCCTTGTCGGTCCACTCGCATGCGGTGCCACGGCCGCGGCGGAACCTCTGCTTGCATCTCACCTTCCGAGCTGCTGCCGTCGCTGTGTCGTGATCCCGCTTGTGCTTCTTACGGTTGCGCTTGCGTTCGGCGCTCTTCTCCTTCTTGTCCTTGCGATGCTTCATCGATGATGACGAGCTCTCGCCAATCATGGGAATCGAGCGCTCAGCAGTACGGCAGATCACGGCCGGTCAGCGCGAAGTTTCGCCCGTCGCGTGCGATTTGCGGTTTTCACGCTTCACGAACGTTATCGTGAACATCGTTGGGGCTCCGTATCTCATCATATCCACGTGTATCTCCTGGTATCTCCCGGTATCTCCCGGTATCCCGCCATATCCCGCCATATCCCGCCGCGGATACCGCGAAAAGAATCGTCCACACCAGGGATTACTTGTGTCAGTACTCGAGTACCTCCTAATCTCAGCCCTGCAATTATGGAGAGACGGGCCCAGGTAGACGGCTCCACGCCGCCTGACTCGCGTCGTGCCACCTGACTCTCGCCTGGAGAGGCCTCTTAGCCGAGGCACACGTCTCACATGGCAATCGCCAAGGAAGTTGCCAAGGTAGCATATCCCGCCCATACTGGGCTGGGTCTTGTTAGGCATTGTGGGGAGGGGTTGGCACTCCCATCGACCCTCATGACCTCCTGCGGTCTCTGAGATGGACACCAGTGGGGGTGGGACCACAGCCAGGATACACTCGAAGGCTGGGTAAGCACTAAGCAGTAGAGGTCGATACTCGACGCGTACCACATGGTCTGGGTGTCGCTGTCGGCACGCTGTCGACAGGTCTTCAGGTGACGTCGAGCGACACCGGTGGCAGTGCCACCCAGGAGTGGTCGGGCGGTCTCCCGTCATGAAAGAGCCACCATGTGATCCGTATGGTGATTCCTGACAACCGCCTCAGTCAACTTTTGTCACAGTTCCCGCTCTGAGAGAGAGGAGCTGCGGGCTCAAAGCTAAAAAAAAACGGGTCGGAGCCATGGTCGGAGCGCAGCGGAGTGGGCCCCCCGATTTAAAAAGGCGACGGACGCTTGCGTCCTGCTCCAACAACGCATCCCCGGCGCAGAGGGACGCTCGGAGGGCTTCTCAACCGCTTCGCGCGAATTCTTAAAGAAAGAAAGAAAACACACAACCCAAGGGAGGGGTTGGAGGACGGCACGCCGCCACCACACAGGGATTTAAATGCGCGAATAAATAAATAAATAAGCAGACATCTCCTCCGATGATCGCCTCGAGACTATAATACTAGAAATCGCGCCTCCCTCTCCCTTGTCTCCCAGTAGCTAAAAGACGATACGAGAATACGAGAAGGGTACGCAGCTGCGAGACGCCTATAAAGACGTCGCCGAAAACTGCGGGCAAGAAGCAACGAGAATCGGAAGAGCAAGAGGAGGAGGATGCTGCGGCGATTGCTGAGCATGATCGCTGTGATGCCTCGACCGCCGGGAGCGTCGGCGCTGGCATTTCGCGCTGAACGCCAGCTGTTGGCGGTGCTGCACATCCCGAAGGCCGCTGGTTCATCGCTTATTGCAGAGGCACGTCGGATGCCAGGATACAGGCTTGCAATCTGGCTCCGCACCACCACTCGAATTGCGAATGCTGCTTCCGCGCCATGTATCGCTCCGGCACATTCCACGTCACCATGCTGCGGTCGCCTCGTGCTCACATTCTCTCTCAGTACCTCTACAGCGCCAACTCCACCTGGGGGCAGCGAAACTCGAAGGCGTTCGCAAAGATGCACCCTTCGGCGATGAAGATGCCCGCCATTGGCGCGAACGGCGAATGGCGTGAGCCATACCTCAAGTGGCTGCAGCATTACGCGCGTCTCCGAGGTGACGGGACGGCAATGATCGAATGGACACCAGCAGTCGGCGACTATTTGACACGTACAATCCAAAAGTCTTCAGGCACGGGTTCTGTCTTGCACACAGACTGGATACGATCACCAAGACTACATCGGCAACGCAGCGCATCATGCATCGCGCTCGGATCCCCCACCGTACTATGGCGCCAATCGCATGCTGGCGCTTGAGGCCCTAGGGCTCATCCAATCAGTGGGAGTGGTGGAGCTGTATCGTGAGTCGTTGTGCCTCATGGAGTTTCAGGTCCGCGGCAATCTGCCGTCTGGCTGCACGTGTGAGGAGCCGCGTCGACGCCGTGAAGTGAAGAATGCCGGTGAGGTCTTGCACGATGTCCGCCAAATATCTGACAACGAGGAAGAGGCGAAACTCATGGACGTATTGGCTGAGCCAGACACACACGTATACCGCGACGTATGGTCTGCGTCACGTCGAGACTATGACCGGAAAGAGGCTGCTTGCATGCCTCGATTGGAAGGAGCTGAGCTCCTGGATTGCGTACATGCACATGCACATGTATCGAGACCATCATGGTCTCAAAGACCAGCATGATCTCAGCGCTGAAGTTGGGGAGGCTACAACCTTGCGAGCGTTGGGACAAAACACCTCCTCGTCAAGTGTACATGAGCTTACTGCCACGGCGGTAGCGACGCGTGCGTCCCACGATAAAGCAAGCGATCCAGTTTCCTTGAGGCAACTAGTAGGACAACGAGGGAGCCGTCGATATTTTATTATTGAGGTTGAAATTACTCCCCATAGAAAAAAAATGCCCCAAAGCTGATAGATGCAAATGCATACTCTCGATTCAGAGGAATCATCCTATCTCCGCATGCTGCAGATTGCAAGGCGCGGTGTGATGTGCATACAGTGGGGGTCCCACCAAGCAACCAGGAGATGGGGTCTCCCAGCCCGCCGCAGGCGCCGATTTTTTTGGCATTTTTTTTCTTTTTTCGCGCGATTTTTTACTTGTTTCATGGGAATTCGGCGTACTTGCGGCCATGCTATCACGCCTTGCGTGGGTCAGCACCGGTCGCACATTGTGGCAGCAGTCAGCAGCGCATGTCTGATAGCTAGAGCAGCAGCATCAGGGTCGCAGGGTCGGATCGTGTCAAGCCTCTCGCCCGGCCGGCCGCGTGCAGACGTCGGCCTCTCTGCTGTCCGGAGTGATCTGTCGGCGGTCAGTACGACCGATCAGGTTGGAGGTTTCTCATGATTGGAGGGTCTATCTGTGTGTACTCCTCGCGATCTCTCCAAATCTGCCCTCTGATTAACCTAGCTTAATCGGGAAGTTGGTGCTAATAGAGGCTAATAGAGGTTAGAGCCGGAGCCCCGTTTCCGCACACACTGCGGCGCGGCGCACGGTGCCTCCGGGGGCCCCCGCCTCCCCCCAGAGAAGTGCTCCAAGTCTGTGTGGGCCCCGGGGCGCCGGGGGCCCCCGCGCCCCGCCCGCCCCCCAGAGGTTGGAGCCAGTCTGCGGCGATTACAGCAGAAAGGTACATAGGTGGTTGACAGAGTCTACACTCTACAGAAGTTCTACAGAAACACACACACAAGACACGGAGTTGTACACTGACACCGTGACAGTGACCGCGAGACCGCGCGCGCACACACACCACACGCCGACACGCCACAAAGCTGCGCACACGCGCACGCGAGACACGCGCACGGCGGCGGCGGAGGAGGGGGGAGGGGGGTCGTTGGGAGTGGTCGGGGCGCAGGCAGGGAGGCGAGGGGGCGAGAGGGGGGGGTGGGGGGACGAGAGGAGAGAGGCGACGACGACGAGGCGCAACAGAGACACTCAGCGCCGGTATTCGCCACCCGCAGCCTCCCTCCATCCCTTCCCGCTCTCTCCCCCTCCCCCTCCCACCCTCCTCCCTACTCCGCCTTGCCCTCCTTTGTGCCGGCCGCAGGCTTCGTGGGCGCCTGAGGCGCATCCGAGGGACTCTGTCACAACGTGTCGTGGAAGTGTCGCAGATCGGGATTATCTCGGAGGTGTCGCAGATGTGTCTCGGAGTCCTCTCGCCTTCAGAGCTCCCTCTCCCTCGACAGTCTCACCAGTGTCTCAGAGGTGTCGTGGAGGTGTCTTGTGCACGGTCTCGGAAACGTCTCGGGAGTCTCTCGCCTTCCGGAGTTCGCCCAACTTTGCAACCGCGACTGCAGAGAGCTCCTTCGCCTTGGAGAGCAGCATCGCGGCCGCCTGGTCCACCTCCTCCTTCTTCTGCTCGTACCCCTTCGGCAGCGTAAAGGCGCACACAAACCTGCAGGCCCCGGGGTGGGGTGTGTGTGTGTTTTGTTTGTGTGTGGTGGGGGTGTTGAAGGAGGGGGTAATGTATGGGGGGGGGAAGGGGTGGGGCAGTCAGGGGCGGGGTCCCTCCCCTTTTTTTGAGGCCCGGCCCATGGAGGAAAAAA